ATTGACAAACACTATATTAACCCGTCTGACCAGCGGGGTATAGTAGGTCCTATGTCCAGCAATGGAATATTAAAGGCTGTTGATGTGATGATGATCTGCTGAGTAATTATTTCAGGATTTCTCAAGTTAAGTACTTGTTAATTGTGCTACGCGCGTCACTTTGATATCCATAAGTCTTTTACTTCATGCTCCAAAAAAATACCAGTTGGTTATTAACCTTAAAACATACCTATTTACAGGTATGATTTGAGGTTTTTTTCTGAACATTTCCTGGATAATCTTAATTATGTAGGTATTATTTTAACATTGTCTAATTTACGGGTTTATAAAAATTAAAAAATAGTGAAGTATTGCGTTAAAAGTAAAGTAATTATAATTTAGAATCTCATTTCATTTAAGTATTCTTTTCTGATGTAAAAATCGTTTATTAAGTAATTAAAGTAATTACTTTTAATTAAGTATGTACCAAATTTTGTGTAAACATGCTTTTAATTAAATTACTTGTAAAAAGAAAAGATAATAAGTTCGCCGAGGCTATTAAGCCACGTTACTTTATATTTTTACCTTATTAAATATTGTTTTTATGAGTTTAACTCAATATTAATATGCTATTTTGTGGTTCTTTGTAGCTTTAAATTAATTAATTCAAGTCATGCATGGGCTGCTTTGCGTGGCGCACCACTTGCTTCGTATGGTATCCACATTCGCGGTCTAATCTCTTGAGTCGCGTCAGAACGGCGAAGGTAGCGCTTTTTATCGAGCTGTCTACTAATTTTATATTGAAATTATAATATGGGTACTACTGACGTACATTGGGTTCGAATCCGTTCAACCGTAGATTTGAAGGAATGCCAAATTATATGTACATATATCAATACAATGGTTATTAACCACAGTGTCTATATTATTAAATTGAGTTTTGATTAAATAGAAATCTACATAAATTACAAAATAGAAATAGTTTTAATTAAATTATGAGACGAAGGAGCTGTTTATGTTGCCTAATTCTATTATATTGGGTCTCTCCCTAGCAATTTATTATAATTAACTAATAAAACCAATTAGTAAGGCGATTATTTGATTTGTTAATTAATAAATTCCTTTGTACGAGGCTTCAGACTTTTTATAAGATACCTAAATAGTTTATAATATCGTTTGAGTACCATAACGACTTATCTTTTATCGGTATTTATTAAAACAGCCTTTTTTTTGTTTTTCATATATTTACCTACTGCACTGGCATCTCACTATATTACTTAAGCTACCGAACTCGATAAAGTAGAAGATAATAGATTCGAAATCAACAGCAGTTTAGCCGGATACCGGATATCCGGCCAAACTTGTTGTATCTTGTCGATTTCGATTGCCTGTCCTGTGGGTCGGAGTCAGACCAGCCGTTGCTTCCTTAAAATATACATACAGTTAAAACTAGATTCAGAAAGTCCTTTCAACTCCTTAAGTCAGTCTAACTACTTCATACAAGATTCAAGGTACACTACTTGTAATTGTAACAGTTTGATTTATGATTCTACTTTAATTTATAAAAAAAAGGATTGTAGGAAATATTAAATTAAGTACTTGCCCACCGAGGGTTCGGTACAAATTTGTAGGTACTTTTTTCATTATTCGTCATAAATCGAAAACTTTACATCATAAAAACAATGAAAACTCTTTTTAAGCTTGTGCCAATGAAGCCCTTTCATACGATACCCCACATGACACGGTTAACTCAATTTCAAATTTGGACCGCCGTTCCTTGCATATAGACCCTGTTTTGTTTATGATAAATGTGTAGTTTTCAGATTTTTTCCTATACTTATTTATTTATTTCAAACTTTATGCACATGTACATCGGCGGACTTAATGCTCAAGGCATTCCCTTCCAGTCAACCTTTAGGTGTACAGAGGTTACGTAATATTATGACATGTAATAAATGAAAATATACACGGTTTACTACATACATAAACGTATACATACACATATACGACACATCACATCATAAATATACATATATAAATATATTTATAAATATAGGGTGAGAGTCACCAATTTTCAACCGGCGCTTAAAATAGACCACTTATGTATTTCTACCAAAATGACACTATTTGGTATATTATATTGGCACAAAATTAGCGCTACAAAATAGTATTACTGGCGATGCTAGCGCTCCTTTTTGTGTTGCTAGTGTAAAATAATAGTGCCATTTTGGTCAAAATTCAGAACTGGTCCAATATAAGCGCCGGTTCAATATTGGTTACTCTCTATGTTTACCGGAATATAAGGTGTACTGATTGGCTAGTACTGCCATTTTATTACGAAGGAGATGATGCACCTTCTTTTTTAATACTTAGTTAAGTTAGTGGACATCCTGATATCCTATGTCCTATACTTGTAGTATAAGACGGTATTACTTGCTAAATTTGATAGTTCTAGGTCTACGGAAAATAACCTATAAGTTTTGATTCCCTTGAGAGTGTCGAAATATAAGTTTTTTGCGGCCTAAACGACCGTATCTTTTTTTATGTTAACTTAGAAGTTTGATTCTTTCACAGCTTCAAGATACCTCCACGCGTTCCCGAGATGAAGGTTCTTGACAGACAGACGGACAGATGGACGGACAACAAAGTGATCCTATAAGGGTTTCGTTTTTTCCGTTTTTGAGGTACGGAACCCTAAAAATGAAGTTTCGTGATAAATCCTACAGCAGCAGGCAATTTTTTACCAGATAAAACATTAGAGATGCGAAGACAGATTCGAATTCGCAAAGCTTACGACACGTTTTACGATTGCTTTTATTGAGGTAGCAAATGAAAACAAACGTAAGAAATGTTACGATTAAGAAAAAAAAACAAAATTGCCGCTTACTACCCTGTTTCTGGCCATAAATAGTAAATTTAAGCCAGAAAGTTACTGGGTATACCATTCATTTCTTAAATAACTGTGATATAATCGAATTAATGATAAAATAAATTAATACACAGGTACTTAAAAGGTTACCAGTTAAAAGTGAGCGATAGGCGATCGAGACCCAGCGAGAGTCACGTGCACATGACTTTCGAACCAGTTTGAATATAACGAAGGCCTTCGATAGGATCTGGCACAAGGCGTATAGCCTGCCGTGAAAGTGTACAGCATTGTCCCTAGTTTACTTTGTAGATATTTATTTTATACAAAGGTTTTGCGCGTTTGCCGTTTCAAAGATACCGTTTGTCGTACCATCTTGCGACGGGAGCACTTCCCTGATTGCCACACCTAGCATTGGAATCCTTTTCGTTGACATATCGAGCGAGATTCCATTTTGAGGTCGCTTAGAGAATAAAGCCAAATTACCCTGCAACAAGCTTGGTGTGCTCAACAGATGTAGGCAGTAACTTCAAATTTTCAATAGATCGATGTTTGATATAAAAGTTCAACCGATGCACTCATGACAGTTGCAGAGGACCGTCTGCTATTTTACCCCTATAATATATCATAGCAAAATAATCGCTTGTTTCTTGTGAACTATTTGTGAAAATATAATAGTTTTCAAATTGAAAAGGCCAACTTGAAAGTGTTACCTAATAAATAATCCACACAGAGATGCACTATGAAATAAGTGACATTTATAGATAGCTCGGTTCCAAAGTATACTAGGCACTTTAAACAAAACAAATGTTAACGTGAAATCATTGACACAAATATAAAAATAGACAAACATTATAATGAATATCATTTTATAATAAATTCTATTGTCCTTAGTTTCAAACTAAATCGACATTTAAATGTATTCAAAGTTATTTTAAGTGCAAAAGGTCTTCATGTCAGTGATGACGTGTATAATGAGCTGTCATTGGCCTGTGTATAATGAGCTGTCATTGGCCTGTGTATAATATGTGCATTTCTTAATCTAAAAGAGCTTATATGAATTTGCATTTGAGAAAAGATAACATGACTGTTGTAAAATATTCTGAATCATGTACAATAAGGTGTGACTCAATATTTATTCAATGAATACATATCCTGACTTGCTAAATTTGGACAAAAATATCTGGCTAAATAAGAATTACAGAAGCACTGCACGTGCTAACACAAATGTACGAAAACTTGTAAAACTACCGTAGAATCGTTGTTGTCCTCGAGGCGACTGTACTGTTTGTATACTACTAAATCCAGCCATAGTTAAATGTTACCGTGAAACGGATTCTGAATATAAATCAGGATGTTTTCTGTTATCTTCATTTTAAATTACTGTGATTCATTTCCTTATCTAATGTGCGTGTAATTATAAATAAAAATCCAGGCGTTCCTGTCCCTGAGTCTGAGACAGTTATTTTTGACCCTTTATTTTCCACCCTTAAAAGTTACTTTTTGAACTTGAAATCTGATGGACTTGTTGTTCAAGTGTTTGGTGATCCTGACTGCTTATGGTAATTCTAACCTGGTTTAATTCTAACCTAGGAAAAATAATTGTGTGATGACGTTAATTTGTTCTGTGTTTAGGTGTAAATATCTATAATATGTATGTATTTAGAAATATGAAAGTATATTTATCCCATAGTACAGGCTCGTCGCAGATTGAAGTTAGACGACCATGTGTGAGATGTGCAAGGTTATTATTATTCTTGAGACCAACCAATCCGGTTAACATATAGCGAAGCTACCACGTAACATAAATTTTAAAAGACGTTCCGTCGAATTGAAGAACTCCTTGTTTGAAGTCGGTTTAAAAATATTGACTTTCTATGAGATCAGTCGGTTGGTACATTTGAACAAAAACGTTAAGTATGAGCATCAATCACACGCAGGACAGTAAAAGTACGTGAGGAGGGACTTCTAACAAATGACTTCACCCAATTGTTTGTTCACTGCAATAAGTTTTTACAAGAGAATAATGATGGTGGTTTTGTTCCTAAAGCTTTTATTTTTGACCATTGTGCTGTAAATCTAAGTAAGCCTATACATATGTTTATCACTTCTTGAAAACGTGTTAATTACATAAGGATAATACACTTTTAAGAAAATGTACAAAAAGGAAACAAAAATCGTATTTGAAACTTGGTAATTTATTGATATTTAGTTATTATATTAATTTTCGCAAGAGAATAAATAGTAATACTTTCGTATATGAAAGAATAGAAAAAAAGTTAACAGATGCAGGAAATTCGTAGTTCCATGTACAAAAGTATTTTATTTTATTTTGAAATTATTGAAGACGTTATGTCTTGTCTTTACAACAAGATAATCCTTCTTAAAAAAAGTTGGACGACTTCAAATAATACTAACAAAGAGCACTAAAAACCTAGCAACAATCGCGGTTGATTTGCTGTCATTTTTTGAAGAGTTCCGTTGTCAGTCTCCGAAACTCATCATCAGATCTATATGAAATTTAAATAGGACCATTTCGGAATAAACACCTTTCCAAAAAAAAAAAATTTGAAAAACCGTCTAAATATATATGACAGTTATGCCCGAACATACATAAAATATGCTCGTATATACATCCGTTTTGATAACCTAAACTTTTTTGAAGTTGGTTAAAAACCAAGAAGATTTACTTACTTTTATATGAGGAATATTTATTTTTATATTTAAGATTATTTAATGATTTTTGTAGCCTATTTTTACTGCAAACCCAATATTCTACATTTGCTAATAAAGTTTTTTTTGTTTTAGGATAACGATCCAACGTCTACTATACATCACACTCATCACCATTACAGCAGAAGTACTCGCTCACGACACGGATAAAGAGCACCAAGGACCACAAACCTGCGGAGGACGCCTCAAGGGCCCCGTAGGAGTCATACAGACTCCCCACTTTCCCAACGCTTTCCCGGTCCCCATCAAATGCAAATGGATCATAGAACACGACATAGTGAATGGAACTATATCGATATACTTCACCCAACAGTTTACCACTAGTGGATTAACATTTACGGAGTATACCTATTATGATGAATCCTACAAGCTGGAAGAACGAAGAGCTCTTACTGTTACGGAGGAGAATATTACAAGAATAAAATGGCTCCAGGTATGTATTTGTGTATTTTGATTTTCTATGTGAAAATGTTCTTTTAGGCATATCGATGTCTAAAGAAATGTGAAAAACAAAGAATAAAGTCTAATGACATCAAAGCTGTCGAACAATAAAATACCAATTACCAATTTACCAATTTCAAGCTACTACAAGTATTATGATCTTAAGATACGATTCTGCGAAAAAAGTAAAAAACTTTTGTAGTATCCATTTTTGTCCAACATTTCAACACTTCAATTTTCTTTATTTGTATAGATGATTTTGTCAATAATCCAATAAACCTTCAAACAATTTGTGATTAACTGCCAGTTTTCCGATCATGCTACCAGGCAGCAGGCAACTTACACATTAAACCTGAGACACGGAAACTGAGAAACGGAGGCTACCGTTTAATGTAACTTAACTAGCATTAACAGACTATATTCGTCAAATAAAGTACAATAAGTCTATAGTATGACCATACATAAAAAATGAATGAAATGAAATGTGTGAAGTAAACCTCTCTTTACGTGTAAGTGTGTACTCATGCACTTACACGTAAAGAGAGTTTCACATACATACACGTGTGTGTTGTGGTGTGCGTGTGTTTGAGAGGATGTGTATCTGTTTGAGGCCACAGTTTGTTTGTTGAGAAATCTTTTTTTAGAATTTTGTCAAAGTTGCTCACATAGGTACTAAGATATAACTACTAAGAGTTCCTCAGTTTCCTTATATCCCAAACTTAGGAGCCAATCAGTAACCTTAAACTTGCACTGTGTTTTATTAAGAGGGTAAATAAGGATGATACTATTTACCTTATTATAAACATATGTGATTTAGAGCTAAAAATTATATGTGATCAAGTTGAGCGACGCAAACGATATAGAGAGGAATTTTTGAAAGCTAGAACTGATCCCTGTCTACATTCTAAGGAGGCCGGCTATGTATTCGATCCGGCTATTCAGAGATTCCTGTCATTGAAGAACACTCATTTGGAATACTTTACTCCCACTTTCGCGAACATAAGATTTGGGGTGTGCATGAAAAAAAAAAAAAAAGTATAAAAATAGTTGTTTTTAAAGAAAATAAATAAATAAATAAATAAATATGGACCCAGTGTACAATAAAACTTTCGGATAAACGAAGTGTGTAGGATCCTTTTGTTTTCACAAACCCTATTTCTTCTCCGGTCTATAGCTTTAGTCGGTTCATAAGATAAGTCACTGTGTTGCTTCATTACTGTACCTAGTAAGAAGAATTGCCTTACTGTTAGCACCTTCTACTGTACATAAAATATAGCCGTTAGAAACCGAAAAGAACAGAAAGTGCTGACCTTAGGTATTGCCCTCTCGGCAATTTCCAACCGTTCGATGGCAGTAGCTGGAGCTCAACCCACGATGTCAAAACGCCAAATAAATCCGCTTAAGCAGATCAAAATCCACCACGTGTCTTACATTTTAAAAAACTACAACAAGTTTGCAAAGTCTTCCGGTCAGTAACTCAAACTTGATTCTATATCTCTGTTATGGAAGATATACATAACTAGATAACACTTAAATTTAGACTTGCAACGAATAGTATATTCGGCAGTATACCGAATACCGAATATTCGGCGAGGCCCCTGACCGAATAGCCGAATATTAGGCAAAAGTATTCGGCTGGATTTTAGCGCCAAAAATTTGTACAGACGTGAATTAAATTATGTACCTGTTTTATGTACCAATGACTACTTAATAAATGATTATAAAAGAAATGAGAACCTTACCCTTCTAAATTTTGATTACCACAATAATTCAAATACATAGAATCCTCCATTTTTCCAATTCAGAAGATGATTATGTACCTGTGTTATGCACCAATGACTACTTAAATGATTATAACAGAAATGAAAATATGAATATATACGTCGTAATCAATCGATTTTAATTTTTCATTTTACCAATTATTTCTCAATGACAAAATATATTATTTAAGTATTCGGTATTCGGCCGAATAATGTGTAGATATTCGGTATTCGGCCGAATATAATAGAAGCAGCCGAATATGCCGAATACCGAATAGTAACCGAATATTCGTTGCAAGTCTACTTAAATTAGACGTTTTTAGTTTTAGAGTCAACGGTTACTGTTTCTTATCCGCCCGTGTACTTATCTACTTGAAAACGTTAAATAATTTTAGGAACTAGGTACACTAACCAAGTTAAATAGACAACATTTTCACTCGTGCTATACCAAAAATATACGTACCCTTTCAGTACGTATATTTTGGGTACAGTTTTGGTTACGATAACAATCTTGACAAAAATATGCAATTGGATTTACTTATAAAAGCTTACGATTAAAGGTCCTACGACATTAAGAAGTGGCAATTCATAGTACATGGTATTGAAAAAGAAAAATAGACAACAAGGGAAGCCAATGACATGACAAAAATTGTTTATACAAATCTATTAAGGAGTATAAACAGTAGTTCAAGAATGTCAGCTTAGCATAGGTACCTGTAACTCGAACTGGCAGGAAAATTTCGAATCCTTTAACAAAACAAGTCGCTAAAAATAAATCAAATTAACATACGTAGTACGTTGTTATTCAAATCGTTCGAATACAGACCGATTCTTTCCAAGATTGAGGATCACGCGACTATTATTCAATATCATTGAGTAATAAGAAGGATAAAGGGAATGATTATATTCTTTGTCTTTGCATACTGATGAATATCTGAAGAGGATATTCTTGTGAGGATGTAGACTACTTACAAAACCATTTTCTTAATTCTAATAAAGAACTTTTTTATATATAATTGAAATACTTTTTGTGGAATGGTTAAAAGATTTGAGTTTACTAAATTATAAACCTAGTAGGTATAATCCAAAGCACCTTAATGTTTTTTTTTTATCTAAACCCAAGGATAACAAAAAGTAATGAAGTCTATTCAATTTATTAAAGTACGTTACTATTTTCAAAAGTTAATATGAAATGTTAATATGAAACTTTAACAATTCAAACCATTGTTGTTTATTTTTATTCAACAAAGTTAACAAAGGTTTTTTTAAATGTATCAAACAAATACTATTATATTTTGAAAAGCAATCAGTCGCGTCAGATAATTTTATTATTTTGAACTTTCTTTTAATTTTTATGTTGTTTTGAACTCTAAAAAGTCACGCAATTGAAATAACCTTTTTTTAATGTCTACTAAATCTGTATTTCTGAATTTTGTTCTGGATATTCAAGTTTTCTTACCTATAATCGCTTAAATCTATAACAATAATAATGAAACTTGAAGTACCAAATTGTATTTAAAAGAGAAGGGATCCGGGAACAGCTGTTATTAAATTTGAATTTATTCCTAACAGTCCATTTTAGGGGTTAACAAGAGTCGCCGTCATGTGCTACGCGGAAAACACACTCGTGACTGCGTGAGGCAACCATGAGGGCCACGGCTGGGGTTGCCCAAGTCGTTGAGCGGATCCGGCGGCTGGGGCTCGAGGTGGCTCTGCACAAATCCGAGTCCTTGGTTTTTCATGGACCTCGGAGGAAGCCACCTGAGGGATCCAGCCTCATAGTAGGAGGCACTCGCATCGACATTGAGCCCTCGATGAGGTATCTGGGGCTACTACTCGATGGCCGATGGGACTTCAGACATCATTTCCGAGGTCTGGTCCTGGACCTCCGTCCTCCATAAGCGCAGGCCTGGGGGTGACAGGTGAAGCCATCTGTCAACCTAGCAGAAGCATTCCGTGGTGGAGGCGAGATGCGCTGCAGAGCGAGCATGCCCTTTCGGGAGCACAAAGGGAACTTGGGGTTCCTACACAAGAGGGGGTCATCTACCCGCCGTAGATGGCCCGAGGTACTTTGGGTCACCAGGGATTTCCTTTCTAGGGTACACCTAGTTCCCTGGCTACTGGTACCCGAGATGGCGGCGGCGTGCGGTTTTTAGTTGGTTCGAGTCCGACATAGGGACCGGCGGGTGGTATCCGAGGGGATTTCCGCACAGAAAAAAAATTGGTTAACAAGAATTCTATGTGTCACATATGTTAGTTAATCCTTATATTACTCGTATTAGTTGTATTTAATTTTTAGTACTGATGAAACCTAGTTTGGGTTTGAAAGTAAAATTGAATCGCGGCTGAACTAATATACTGAAGCTTTTCAAAAATAACGACGCGTGAAACGCAATGCGGAGGTTAAATCAAATATGCACTTTGGGAATGTTCCCCTATACATATGTTGCGTACCGCTGAATGTGGACACGATACGTAGCATTTAGCGACGCTTTTACTATATTGGTACTCAAATAGGATTTAAAATTTCGGTCAGTCAGTGGATACATAGGTTTATTTATTTATCTAAGGATTTAATGTTGTTAGCATTTTTTTCCTGTCAACTCTTTGGTACATTTATAATTGTCTGTGTTAAAGTGTTATTGTAACGTCAAGTTAGGCGTTTTATTTTCTTGTGTATGAAATGAAACATAACCACTATCGGTAATCTACAAATAATTAACGTAATCATTAAATACTTTTTTTTTTTACCGTATCAGAATGATCATGGCCTACAAAATAATCGTGTTCTTCAATACTCACCTGAAAATAATTATTAATGACGAGAGAAATATACACCTACTTAGTAGAGAACATTTTTGATTAACGGAGTTCAGGAGAAATATGGCCGACCATAATTTTGTATATAATCTATTGTCTACACCTGTAGCGTTATATGAAAGTAAAGTAACATTAAAAAGTGAACATTAATACTACTGTGTATTTCTGCCTAGTTATCAAAATTGTCGGCAACCCGTCGTATTTCAAGACTGATACGACCACTTAAAAGTTTTAAGAAAGAAGCATATTCCAACCTTACAGGCTCCGAAAATGCACTAGTAATGCCTGAGTTGCAAAAGTCCAGGACTAACTTATGAATATATTATACATCTTATCGTATATAAAATCACTATAAAGACGCCACGGCTCACCGTCGAATAAGCCAATAACGAGTTGTTGATTGGTCAAAACA